CAATGAATCAATGACCATGAAACTGAGCAAACTCAAGGAGGCAGTGAAGTACAGGAAGGCCTGGCGCAATATGATTCATGGGGTCACGAAGAGTCGGACACGACTTAACGACTGAACAACAACAAAAGGCTGTTCAACTCAAACAATGTACAACTTAAAAACATCGAATACAAAAAAAATCAGAAAGTTGTTGCTCCAAAGCCTTGAATGGAACTAAGACAGGAGTTGGTAACCCCTAAGTAGCACTTGCCACCCATATTCTTGCAGCCCCAGAGCCATCCAAGATTATGCCATAAAATTTAGGATGGTAATTTTAACAATGTGACTCTTTACATTCATTGAAATGTAATGTAATGTAATGAAATGGCTTAAATGTTTAGGATACAACATGAAAGTAAGCATAATGCCTGAAACCTGGGAAAAATAGAAGGCACTTGGAAAAGGGGCAGATGATTAGATGCTGTCACTAGTGTCATAGTGCAAAGATGTAGTTACTGACAGTCATGGTGAAATGTTGCTGCTCAGGTCATGAAGAGTCAGAACTACTAAACAGACCAATAGGCAAGTTAAAGTCAGAGGTTTAACATGCCTAATTTGTATAACTTCCCCATAACACCTAAATATAAGAGCCAAATGTTGGGTACCATCTGCTCAGTGACATCACGATTAGACTCCCTGGAGGCCACAAATACTTGAGTAACTGTCTCTTTGAGTTAAGTGAATTACTTCCAAATACAAGAGGGTTTTTCTTGCTGCAACCCAGCATAAAATGTAAGATCCCTCCTGCCTCTTGTATTTCCTTTAGATCTCCCATCCATCTAATGATCAGACTTGGCCCTTCTTAGCTTCTGAGCCCAGACCAGTTAGCCAGGCACTGCCACCTGCTGGGCCACATTATAGTTCGATTACATGAGATTTATGTTTTGACTGCTACTCACTTTTTACAGTTTATCTCCAGCACTCAAAGGTTAAGATTGAAATATTATATATAGGTTGACAGATAGATGGACATATTCTTTCTCTATCATATATAAATCTGAACAATGATATTTCTAGGTGACAAGGAGTGGAAAAGCAGCACAGAATCCTAGTTAGGTTTTATCTCTCCCTCCACTCCATATAGCAACAGCTGAGAAGCCTTGTCAGTAACGCATCTTACTGCCTATTGAGTTTTTAGATGAGAACCCATACCCCTCATGCCAAGGTAGGCAAGAGGAGACACAGATCTAGCCCTGAGACTCTGAAGTGGGTGAAGCCTGTCAAACAATTGAAGATTCGTAACTGCCTAACAGCCAATGTTGCCACCGAATATCAGAAGCCTCCTGACAATGAGGATATGAGGATATTACAAACAGACTATTAACTTCAACTTACTAAGCAGAGGTTATTAGGAAAGCAAAAGTGGTTTGCCAAGTGAGTGAGGATCAACAGAGAGATACTATCTCAGGCAGGCAAAAGAATGTGTTACAGGTTAGTACCTGGTCTTATAGTTGGTGTTACCCCAGCCAGCTTCTGACTGAGAACAGCATTAGTGCCAAATAGGACATCATTATGTACAACTGAATGGCCCCCTAACAAAAACAAGTCCTGCTTAGGGTGAACTATTTTGGAGATGCTACTAAACACTCAGAAAAAGTCCCAATGTTTTTTTTTTCTTTCTGTTTTTCTGCAGTTTCGCTTTTTCTCTCTCTTTCCTTTCTTCTTTACTGTTTTTACTCTTTATTAGTTTGTGTTGGTTTTTATGTGCTTTGTAAAACTTTTAATAAAAAAGTTAAAAGAAAAATTCCCAATGTTTATTGAAAATGTTATTTATTGTTTAAAAGACATCAACCATCAAAAGCAAAAAAAAAACTGACACCAAATCCCTTGGTTTAAAATACAAAGAGTTCTTTTACAAGAATTTTCCAATCCTAACAGTTTCATATTTAGCTGTTTCCGAATGTTTTGATACATAGCCTTCTCTAACTACAAATATGAAATGGCTATATGTTCATATATCCTTTTTTTAAGGACACACACAACTTATAAGACATTTGACAGTAAACCCAAAACAAGATGCTTATAGCATTTAATGTGCTTTTTTTGAGTTAGTGAGAGACTGGGTATCAAAATAAGCATTGTATCCTTTTCATTTAATATAGTTTATTTGAATCCTCATGGACATAGGTAAGAATCTTCTGAGGAACAGAAAGCTGTAGTGTGTAAGTATTACAATAAACCAAGTTTATGTTCAACCATCAAATGAGGATCTGCCATTATTTCACTTTCTGCAGGATCTGGAAAAGAGATTTAATAAAGTGTAAATTTAACAAGACTCGTAATTCAAGGCAAGTTTGGCAGAAAACCTGTCATTTATGCATTACATTCCTTCGTCCACTCATCTTTCATTTAATCTATGTTGATCAAATTTGATTTATTCAGGTGAAGAGTGGCCTGAATAAAAGCTAGTACTTGTTTTTTACATAAGTGATAATTTCTAACAATAAGTTTATTCAGCTATGGACATCCCACATATAAATATGTCCTCTCTTCCCTGCAGGCTTTACAAAATGCCCGAATGGACTGTTTCATATATGAAAATGAGCTTTGCTGGATAGGATTGAAGACCTATTCTAATCCAGCATTTCCTCATAGCAAACAACCAGATGCCTATTAGAATTTTTAAGAAGCAGAAGGGTAGGGGACAATAAATATATCCCTGGGTTGCTTCTATTACTAGCCACAGCAATGTACTGCCATGCATATAATTATACCCACATGAGAATATGACATTAGTCATTTGAAATTGTGTCACCTCCCTGCAACTTAAACCTTGGCCAAATTTCAGAAAGATCCTTACCACCAAGAATATCCTCAAAACCAATGCAGTCATCATTGCCTTTTAAGATATCCAGTGACAGATTAGAGCTATGAAGGAAAGGAAGGCGCTGGACCTACAAAAGATTTTACAGGTTAGTTGTCCATATTAATACTGAGATAAATGTGATATATTTATACTGAGCAAAAATGTGTATCAAGTTGCTCACTCAGGCTGCACTTACTTTTTAGATTCCACCTATTTAATGTCTGAAGTAGGATGTAAATGTAGCATGCAATGTTTTGAAAAATTGTATTTTAAAAATATAAACTTTACCATTACTTTTGCCACCATATAGGAATACTGCAGTTAAAAAATACCTCACGTCTCCCTCTGGAATGTGAGCAAGAACAAATAATTATTCTTCAAAATAACAATATTCATTTCTGTCCTAGACTCATTTTCAATTTTGTCTATGAACTTAATATGACCCTTCCACTTGAAAGATAAGTTACATGGGAGAAAAAACCAACTTTTTGGGCAACAGAGATATATAATTGGTGTTAATTAACAATATTTTAGACTATACTTAATATCATTACTTATAAAAATTCAAATGGCAAGTTCTGCAAAGTGGTACTTCCCCACCACATACTGCCTAGTAGAGTTCTGTAAAGAATTTGAAATAAGGGCTTTGTTGGGGGCTTTAAGACATCCGTCTTTTAGAAGCCTCACACAATTCTATGTATACTTAGCGAAGAGTAAGTCTCAGTGCACATAGTGAGATTTTCCAAATAAACCCAGAGCACTAATTTATAATCAGTTGATAATCCTGAAAAAACACATACAAGCATATCAATTCCCTTTTGGATAAAGCAAAGTTAGGCAAAACTCAGAGAAGGAATAATAAATAGTAAATCAAAAGAATGTAGGCATGAGATATGAAATCCAGCTAAATCTAATTTATACTATGGGCACCCAAGTATAGGGTCCCACAATTATCTGGGGAATCCAAGAATACCAGTCTGGGAGTTACTCTGGTTAAGGATGAGTTCCCCTGTTTATAGCTATCTCAGGTATTGTTGATTATATTTTGTTTGTGTGTGTGTGTGTGTGTATGTGTGTGTGTGTTTTGTTTTTTGTTTTTTTGCTTTATGCCTTTGTCCTACATTTTAATTTTGTGTCATGCTGTTAACTGCCCAAGATCCTTTTAAACTGGGATGGATAACAAGTATTGTCAAATAATTAGTTATGCTTTTAGATCAGCAAATATGCAATAATCTTTCTCACAATCACTTCTCACACTCATACACAGTAAACACTGGATTTACCAGAGCAGGGTTTAACAGGCTTCAACTGCTATGGATAAATCTGTTTGCTAGTTGCAACCTAACTTGGTCCAGGAGGCCCAGGCAACAATTAACATGTGTTTTAATCACCTGCACACTTGATTACTGGAATACATTCTACTTGGGGCTGCCTTTGAAGACGTTTCAATCAGCGTATTAGCAGTCTGACTGGTGACAACTGGTGAGCAATGTTACACTTATATTGTGACCACTGTGTTGCTATCCATGTTTCCAAATTCAATTCAATCTGCTGGTTTTGACTTACAAAGACCTATGTAGCTTGCCACATTAACACTATCTTCTCCAATTAGAAATCTCCTATACTACACAACCACAAGAAGGAATAATGCACGTTCCCCCACTGCACCTCATGATTTTAGAGTGATAGCAACCAGAAACCTTCTCCATGGCTATCCCACCCCTTTGGAACAACTTACTTTCTGAAGTACAGATGGCTCCCTCATATTTAGTTTTTAGGAAGATTGAAAAGACTACTTTTCCACCATGAATTTGGAGCCTAATGTTAATGCAGTGGCCAAACTGATGTGCTCACCTGTAACAATCGTTTCTTACTGTTGATTTTAATTGCCTGTTGATTTAAGCTGATTTTTATACATTGTGTCTACTTATGTGAATTGCCTAGAATCAATTGAATGGGACAGTATACAAGCATTTGTAATTGTTATTTTTATTTTACATCAATCAATCAATGCCATTTTTTGCATGCATAAAACCCCGTTCATTACTTTATCCATGCATAAACTGGTGTAATATATGCATAAAATCCCGTCTGCTGCCATTTTACACACATTTGGGTCAACCAGACACTTCTTCTCCCCACTGTTGAGTCTGCTGTACTGACCAAACCATGTAGAAAGTGACATAAAGAGGAAGACCTGTTTCCTGCATACAAAAAAGTTCAAGCCCTGTTATCCCTCAATTATTAAATGATAGCTTTTAGTAGTTTTAATTCTGTAAATTTTAACTTTTTTTTTTTAGCTTTTTAAAAATAATTTAAGAATTGGAGAAAAGTTTTGCTGAAAATAAGCACACCTGTTTTACTGCTCTGAATTCCATTTGCAACTTCAGTGGTGCATGTAGCCCTTGAATACTTCTCAGAGTAGAAAAATTCATTTTATCTTGAGTTAACGAAAACTATCAAAAGAAATGTTGAAAACATTATTTTACAGCCCAGGCAGCCAAATGTGAATTAACTTAGTAAAAACTATGCATGGAGAGAATCCACTGGTTTAGCTATCATTCATTTTTTTCTCATTGAACAGAAAAAGAGAATACATTCTCCCGTCTAGAATGTTCAAGCATTCATTTCAATTAACATGCAGCTTTGCTGTTTTATACAACCTAAATACATGTGATTCCACATAATGTGTAAAAGAGATAAATGGTCCAAATCCCATACAAGTCTGGTAAGTTTCCCAGCACCAATATATTTGGCATGCTTCTCTTTTCTATAGCAATAACATCGTATTAAACATAACTATTTGACAGAAGCTTGCTTCTCACTTACCAGCACTCAGTGGCTTCCTATGGCTTCTCCCTCCATTGCCCCACTAATCAATAAAATCTAAGAACTATGGATAGAGTCAAACCAGAGTTTCTTTCCAGCCAATTATTTCCCATGTCCTCATAAATCTGACTAATTTGAGAAGGGAAAAGAGATGAGCCATTTACCAAACTTCTATAAAAATCTGGGCAATTTATCTTACTAATCTATTTCAGCAATGAAGAAATTTAAGTTCTATAGTATTATGTAATTACAGATAAATTTCTATCACACAAAGCTTCTCAGAATTAGATGTAAAAATTCTCTTGAAGGTTATATCCTAAAGGGTAAATTAGAAATCCAACAAATGATTCTAAAAATATAATTTAATACATAGTTTTTTGCTAATGGTAGCTTTCCTTAAAAGTATTCAATTCATTCAGCTATCATAATAAGATACATATATTTTAAAGTTTTACATACTGTGAGAGGATTAAAATTAAACTACATTAAAACTACTTTTTTCTAGATTTAGTTTGTGTAAATCATTAACCTACATTTAAATTAGAGCAAATATTAATTATGTTAAATATTAACTGCCTGTTTGCATATCCCTTCACCATTTCTATCCTCCAACCCTCGAATAGTAGCTGTGTTATTGTTAATTAACAATTATTCCATCTAGACTTTCCATCTATATGCATGTACAAATGAAAAAGGACTCATTTAACTTCTGCAGCCTCTCTGTAGCAAGATTATTATATGCACATAGATGGAAAGATTTGGAAATACCTACAATGGAGGAATGATTGTGAAGATAACAGAATTTGCAGAAATGGCAAAATTGACTTGTTTGATTAGGGAAAAGACAAGTACATTTATTAGTGACTGGAAATCTTTTACAGACTTTTAGCTGAAAATGGAAAAAAATGAACTGGTGATTTATGGATTTGATGATCAGAAAGGGTAAAATATGGGAAGAAGGGAATTATGATGTAATCTTAAAGAGGGAGGACAGATGATAAATGTATTCGTAACTGCTGTAAAGAAGATCAGAAGCTGCTTTTTTATACTTTTTTCTGTTTCTTAATTTTTTTCTTTTCTCTGCTTCTTAAATTTGTATCATTTTTACTATTGTATAAAATTCTTCAATAAAAATTATTTTAAAAAAACTTCTGCAAGCCTCTCAATATAACTAGATTAATTTTCTTTTAGGGAATTGAGAATTGAAGTAGTAAATCAGTCCAAGAAGAAATGAAATATACTAAGTGAAGCTCTTCACACTTTCCTCTACCCCACTTCTTTTTATTTTCTTCCTTCCTGAATCAATCATCGGCCCCACTGGGAAAAGATTTGCTCTTTTTGATTCAATTCCTCTTCAAAAACCTCCATCAACAAAGCTGCTTCTGTACCTTCCACCTGTTATCTACTTTCTATGCCATCATGGTTCTATCCTTTCAAGATAGCCTGCAATCTTATGGAAAATTCCAATGGAACCTTCCTATTTACTCATAAATAATCCTATCAAGGAAGGTAACCTTGGTGTTCTGTACTGTACCCATCATATATGCAGCTAGTACTAAATATTAAAAAGTATCTATTCTGTAATTTATTGGTTGTTCAGAATGGCTCAATTCTGATTTTAGTCAGGAGTCTGAAAAGATAAGTTGCACTATGGACAGTTATATTTATTATACTCCTCTCTACTTACATTCTTCTCTGAAAGTTCCAAAGGATGAACAGGAAAAAGTTCACTCTTCACATGTGTAAAGCTGTAAACACAAGTAAACAGAAATAGCATATGACCTTATCTTAAAGTTTTGTTTCCTTCACTAACTTTATAAGCCATTCCAAATATAGACTTTGCATTCTAAAAGCCTGAAAATCCTGGCAGAAAGCACTTAATTATTCTAATTATTCTCTTACTCTTTTTCATTTTTACTACTGTAATGTTCATGATATACTTTCCTTACCACACTTATATACTACTGAAAACAATTTTACAATTGTGTTTAATTGTATTCCAGGAATTTACGAGTGCCCTTGAAGTATATCAGCTGAGAGGTAAATAGCTCTTGTATATTTTTCCCATGACTGATACCGTTTTAATATTTCAGCCTTATTTTGTTTATTCTCAAGTGACCCCATCTATCAGTTACCAGTCTATTCTCAGTTACTACTATATCTATCATGACAGAAGAAGGAGGCATGACTATTTCCACAGTAGTCAATTTGCCTGAAAATTGCACATCTCTGCAATGTGCAGTTGCAGGACTATATGAACCCAGCCAATGTTATTTTTATAACAAAATACGTCTCAGCATGCTGTGTGACTTCAAATATTCAGTAGCCTAGTCATTCACTTATTTTGCCATCAAGTCGTTGTCAACTCTTAGCAACCATATAGATATCCTCTACAATGATCCATTCACTCATAGGTAAAAGCATTCCACGCAGTGCTACAGCAACTAGTAACACAAAATGAGCTCTATGTTTATAGAGCCATACAAATGTTTTTGTTACCAGTGTGGGAGCAAATACGGGTACAAAATCTTACCTTCACAGGAGAAGTCTAGCTCATTTCCAGCATATAGAACTATACACACTTGCACAGACCCTTTACTCCAAAGGTCAAGCTGCTGGAAAATGGTAGCTATTTGCTACTGATGGAAGGAACTTTCCACCCAGTTCAAGAAGATGAATCAGTTCCTTTACCTAAGCAAGCTGGAAGCATTCTGGAGACTGTTTTAGTTTTAGGGCTATAATTCTGTGGAAATAATCTATATATTAAGCATTTATTTATCAGAACTGAATAACTGGGTGTAACTTCTAAAGGTTATTAAATATTTGTGTTAGAAGAATAAGATGTGATATTTGGAAAAGGGAAATATCCAGCCCACAAGTGACAAATGGACTCCATTCCTTTGAAACTCAAAGATGGTTTGCTATCCTGATCTTTCATCTAGCATGGATAGAAGAGCTCAATTGACTGTTAAGGAGAGTTCAAGTTATAGATAGTTATAGTAAATGACTGAAGATCAGGCACATAAAAATAGGTTTAAGGTTCAGTTTATTACAAGCAAAGATCAGCCAAAAAAATAGGTGCTACTCTGGAAATTGACTGGAACTTGGAAGAAGCAGTTTGCCTTTATTCATCCTCCCAAGTGAGTCTTAATAAACTATTTCCACACTATCTTTAACAAAAGCACACACAGATCAAGCAGAAGCACTTTTGAGCACCATGACTTGGTCCTCCAATTACATAGGAAATTCACCTTGATATTTCTATAAATTTCTGGTGCTTACCCTTTGTGTATCACACCATGGCTTTCAAATGCTCCACTAGCTGAAAAATCAGGAACTGAAATGCAATCCTTCAGCTGAGATCCAAGTCCTCTAGTATTCTTGAAAAGAAGAACAGAATTATTGTACATAGACAACATTATCCATTTTATTTTAAACATACAAAATAAGTTCCATGCAACCGAGACTTCAAATTTTGCAATAACTGCTTATTAAATAGAGGATATAGCATTCAAAGTTAGGGTTAATGCAAAACAGTATTAAATCAAGAGTGTTTTCTGTTTACTACAGATTTTACACACAAGCATATTGTCTTGTAAGCCAAATCTGGGTTGTATTACTAAAGCTCTAACAGTTTTGATCTATTCAGCCCTGTCACAGCAGCAAATGGAGCTAAAGTTTAATCTATAAATTGCGTGGGCATAATAGCTTCAATTAGATGCTTTGATAACTGCTAAATTTACACCCAGTGCAACTTATCATGTGACTAGCTGTTCTCTGTCTTGCTAAATCAATTACTTTGCTGTGCAGGCTGTTCCTAAACAGTTCTTGTGGCTAGCATTTCTACAATTTATATGTGACAAGGCTTATTTTAACTTGGACCTACTGAAGTCTTTTTATATCATAATATAGGAACCATCATTACTATTATTATTAAATTCTTATCCCGCCATACACATACACACACACATTTGGTCAATTCAAGGCGGCAAACATACCTAATACTCCATGCAACTATACAATTTAAACCATTGTTCCTGCAAGCTGAGTAGACATTCTTTTACCAAACTGTAAAAATCAGAGGATTCACAAATGGACTTGCCACTAGCAAATGAAGACAAAATGGCAACAATCCTTTCTACATTTAAAGTGTCTCTAAAATTTCCTACTTCCAGGTAGATGAAGGAGCATAGAAAGCATAAATTTGGGTTGGTTACTAAAATGTTTGAGAACTACAAATTTATACTCATGCTTCTAGCAGCCAATCACTTTATATCTATCTGATACATGCACAATATATACAGATTTGAAAGCTCAGGAGCATGGAAAATGTTTTGCTTATGACAAAAATCCATTATAAAGCAAACAGGGTATATAAAGAGGAAAAACACCTACCATAAATTGCAGAAATAGGTTCAATGAATGTGATACAGAACAAGATTTCCCACTGCTTTATCTATTTAGTGACAGTTCTTTTTCCTCTAAAATTTATTAAACTTTCCATATCTAGAATGCTGTATGTAATTCTAAGCAGTTGTTCACCATAAGCAAAAATACAATGAAATAAAATTAAGACTATATCACTAAAAGGGCCAGGGGATATAGAACAGACTACTTCATGAGCCAAAACGCAAGCTGATGTAATATTGACTATGAAGCCAAGATTCCAACAAGCATTAGCAACATTTCTGTTTCCTTTCCCACCACCAGCTTTTTTTGTTTATTTTAACTGTGCCTTATTTGTGTCTCTTACAACCAGTCTGCATGGGTTACTGCACCACACAATCCTGACATGAATTTCCAGGCACTTCCTTTGCCCAAACTCACACCTCTATTTTACAAATATTTAGAGTGTATAAATTTAAAATGAGCTGAATTATTATAGCACAAGGCCTGAAACTGGACAGATTAAGTAAATAAGAGGCTGAACTACAGGAAATCCCTCCGACAATGACACTGAAACTAATGTGCTATTGCTTCCCTGTGGAAGTGAGATGTTCACAAAGTAAATCCTGCAAAAATCTTGGCCAGCAGACAGTGATCCGGCAAAAGTGACAAAGAAGGGTCTGGTCCTAGGGCAAAGTGAATGGTTGTCATTGCTCAAAAACTGCATTTTCCTGTAACAGCGATGCTGCTATATTTAAAATGGTATAGTAAAGTTCCTTTTTACCTACATCACATGACTGTTTAGAAATCAATCTTCTCTACCCTTTCTAGCCACTTGCTGGGATTTTTAAAAAATTTATTCCTACGTTTGCTTGTATATCCCAGTGTGACAATTGTATCTCTATTCGTTTTTCGTCATAAATAATGCATAGTGTTTCTTATCTATTGGATCTTGATAACATCCTAGTTTTAGAAGAACCAATATTTGCACACAGATGTTATTTCTTTATTTATATCCAGCCTTTTCTCCAGTACCAAAAGGTGTTGTATATAACACTCCTTCTAATTTCACCCCACAACCATAACCCTGTGAGGTACGGTGGACTGAAAGGGAGTGGGTGGCCTAAAGTCACCACATGAATTTCTAAAGCTGAGGGTGGACTTGAACCTGGGTTTCGCCAAGCCTAGTTTAATACTTTTGGAGGATGATCATTCTTCCATCACTGGGGCTTTGTCAAGCAAGTGTGCATCACACTTCTGTGCTACAGAATGCATTTGAAACCAGCTGAAAGCAGAACTACATAGAAACCCTGCAATCCAATCCACTGTCTTAATCCAATTAGTACCATGAAGTCCATGGGAACTTTTGTCAATCCTGGGTTGACAAATGATCAGCCTCATTTAACCAGTAGAGAAGAAAAGCAAACTGACAAGTAACACAGCTCCTTTTTTTTTTTTTAAAGAAAGCATTCTGGTGTAGTTGCCCTAGTATAGCAGCAAATTAAAAAACCGAAACTGCCCTTATGAACCTTTTAAACGTGAAGACGCAGCGACATTTTTGTTAGCCGCGCAGAGTCGCGCTTGGCGCCCGTATAAACCGACGAAAATAAATAAAACCTCAAATTATGACCCCTTATCCCTTTGATACCCTGCAGAAATCTAGAACTGCAGCTCCCATTATTTCCAGAGAAAACGCTCGTGCTAGTTAAGAAAGTAAGCGGGCGCAGGATTCCTGCTGGGGAAGTCTCCTCGTGACATTGCAGCCGCCCACCTGCACTCTCGGGACCAAGACACCACCAGGCCTGTATCAGATAACGCAAAACCCCGTCGGGGAAGCCAGGGATGGGGCAGAATTGTAAATTAATGTTAAAAAAGAAAAATCCTAAGACCCGGTTCTGCCTGGCCATCGCTCAACAGCACGCGAGAGCAAACGCTCCTCGGCTCGCCACGACGGATCTTTCCACATCTCCCTTTCTCGCGCCTCGCGTTCCCCGCCCGTCCCTCTCCTTTTACTACCCCGCGCGCGCTCTTGCCTCCTTTCACCGCC